AGCGAGAGGGGGAGGGAGAGAGGCATGGGAAACTAAATAGGAGTGAGATTAAGCACTGTCGTTGGACATAATTATTTTTTATTCATTGAGAAAACTATGAGTGAGGCGTAGATAAGAAAGTTGTTTTCGGTTTAAGGTGTGTCCTCCCGCGAGGTAGCAAATACCTAGTTTGAAAATGTATAAACCTTCGATAATCTATTTCCTAGTGCGCTTTGAAAATTATAAGAACATGGCAAATAAAATACATTGTTGAAAATAGTTGGGTCCTCGTATATTCTTATGTTCCTTTGATTTGAACATATTGTCTTTTCTAGAATTAGTGTTATTGAGAACTCTAATGCATACGTTCCACAACCTTGTGTGTTTCAATGTTCTGCACTCTAAAGGTTTGTGACAACACGGCTGTGTGTGATGTCATAGCCACGATACGTGTACTGCCCAACATACTTTTGTGATGACGTGCAAGAGAAATTTTATCCCTGTCGAGCGCACATGGGTGTCTTCGAACAACCCGACTAATATATTAAACAGGCAAAATAAGACAATAGACAGTCCTGGAACAACTCACCCAATACGTTTCTTTGTAACTGTATATCTCTGCCTCTGATTCTCATAGAAAATTAAGGACTACTTTTTCTCTAACCAATTTTAAAAAGCAATAGTTACGGAAGTTGCCATTAACATCTGTTTACTTTATCACTACCGCTTGATCAGTGAAGCGAACACAATTTTCTGACAAATTCACCGGACAACCATAGTTTTCTAAAAGGTTTTACAAAATATTTAAGATATTACTCTATCAATACAATCACATTTACTACGACAGACAAAACCACAACACTCATGCGAAAACTACCTCTGCTCGGTCAAATTGTTCTTATGGCCATTACTCGTACGAGTATTTCCAACCACAACAGACACTAAAAGCCTGTCAAAAAAGACTGTCAGTCTATAAATCCTCTCCTTACTAGTTTCTTCAAAATAAGTTCATACACGATAATCCACACCAACTCACGCTCTGACTCCTGTACATACACCACCACCAGACACAAACCACACCGACCGCAGACAACACAACTCTATATATATCTGCGCGTCTACTATCACGCTAGGCCGATGAACCGTTATTTCTGCACTTGCTCGATTCTATACTTTGGCTGTCCTACGAGTGCACACACTATCCAAAATATAAGAATCGTGACAATCAGCCTGTCAACTGTCACTATGCGATTGCCCAGAAGGCAAAGATGCAACAGCTGCCCTCTAAATAGATAGGTTAAAACATCCATTATGTAAGTAACAAGTATGGCCATATGAGGCCCCAACTCTTAGGCACCTGAGGCCCAGCTGCTCGCGCAGCGTCTCTCTAACCACTACACACACCGTGCAAATGGTCTTCTAAGCTCATTCACGCATATGAATCACGAGTCACGAACGTAGACAGATCAACTTATCAAGGTTCAGAACTGATTTATAGGTTAACATTAAAACACTGACAGGCATCTTTCTAGATTATCACATCTCGACCATTGGCCACTCGTTTCGTGGAATGATTCTAATCTACCTAACGTAGCACTCGTACACATCCATTGCCCCTGTTCTCAATAAGACAGGAAAAACCCAAAATGTGTGCACCTCTGCACTGAGTCGCCTAATTTGTCGATAAAACATGTTCCATATATTTTCATACTCACTCGCCTCGCAGTACACTCGAGTTCTGGTCTCGGTTGAGTATTCTTCTCATATGTGTCATTAAATTCCTACTGCTGACATGAGTGCGGTGAAGAACTCAGTATCTTTGTCTATTATTATCTTTCATGGTTTGCCAAACATGGTGTATGAGAGAGATTCGCCATCAACATAGAAACTTACACACCTCTGCAGACTGTCGAAGTACCAGCAGACTCAAATTCAACATCGAGACTCCATATGCAAGGATCCACGCAAATGTACTAACACACACCCAGGCTTATGCCAGACTACACATAGACTGATGGAAAGCAGGTATGATCGATCAATATACATATGGAGTAGGCGAGGAATCACTATTGCTTAGTGCTACTCTAGTGACATCACCTAAACTTAAATTTATAGTTGAGAGCTATCTAGTCAACATTGTGATAAATAAATACCTTTATCACTCCTTGGTGATATTTGAATCCTTAGGCATGGCAATTGCATCAGGAAACATAAGCTACACTCGGAGCTGACCTGACCTTACCTCGATAAACTCTCTAGGGTGAGCAAATTCAACTGACCTTCGATGTAAGAGCACCTCAAACGAAATACCTACTCACAATAACTATACTAATTACTCTTGCAGTATCCTATTTTCCTTAACGCTTAGTGTCGAACGAGTCTGTTTAAACTATTAATATACATCACACTGATAATCAGTCTCACACGAGGTTATATGACCCTCCCCAGCAGAGATTCTCGCTGAGCTACAAGTTCCGTCTTGGTGCTTGAAAACTACATATGTTAGATCAGATTCTGAGATAAGTGTGACTTCAACAACGTATATCCGAGAGTAGAAACTACCTAAAACTCATACATCATACACTCATACTGTCACTCATGATAGTCACTTCACTATATCTTTCTAAAGAAGATAACGCTAATGATTGCACTGCCATATTTTACTATTCACATGATCTTTACTGTTTACACAATCAAGTCTAATATCACACTGACGATGATTATTTAAATATCATTTGGCTATGTGAGATACGGTCTTAGCTTGCACGTTATCTAAGGCGCGTTATGGATTACCTTGATACGAACACTTGCGGGTGCTAATGGGATCTTCCCCATCACACCTTAAAGTAGATTAGACTGGTAAAGTTATAGGAATTTGATTATGAGAATAGGTATGATAGTGAGATTAATATTTTTAGTTCCAAGCGCTTGATCTACTCTGTTTGTTATAGATACTGGCGGAGTCCTTCGTGCAGAGCTATACCGACCATTAAAACCACATAGGACGTAATAGAACTCAATTATAAACTTGAAGTGTGTTATCACAACTTGTAGTAATCGACTTTATCCGCGAAGGGACACTTCACCTATTCTAACTCAGCGAAGGGAGCCAATAAGTTAGTGACTACAGTGAGACCAAAATTGTGAGCGAAAACATTTTCGTTTGTTAAGAATGGGGACATGGGCTGATCTTAAATTCGGTCCTAGATGGAACTGGCTAGCGTGTGAACCCCAGCCAGTATTGCGTGTTATCCTGAATGAACACCAAGACGCTGGGACATCTGTCCTCTATGAACCGCCTCCAATATAACACATGATTAATGAGTTAAAGTTACGTCCTTAAATGATGTCCTATTGTCAGTTCCCATACACGAAACAATAACTGTGATGCACTTCAGAGTCCAATCCATCAACGTTTTCAGCCCAATTTGAACTGACCCAGTTGGCTAGCCTTGCCGATCCATGACCCTCTATTATCTTCGAGGTTTGAAACCGCTTTTCCTTCCCACTGGATCCACATCTTTTGATAGGATACGCATGACCACCTGCCAGACGGAACTACCTACAAAAAGCTGCAGTTTTGGAGATAACCCCCCCCCCCCAACACACACACACATACAGTGATACATGTTTTTGTGAACAATAACACACTAAATTAAAACACAAATTCAGGATATGGTTTTCTCAGGGCCGACACAGTTACAGATTAGGAACCATTTGCTGTAAAGATTTTAATTGTAGTGTCAAAATCTTGAATAAAGTGGTGGACTATTACTCGTGATGTACAACCAGACACTGAGCGAGACTACAGACGAGAGAGGCGGCTACGTCAGAGCCAAAGTAGCACATTTTTAAATACAGATAATCTAAAAAATGATGAATATCTGATCTGATAATCCGCATGGCCAATAATCTCTCTATCCCTGGTGCAAAGCTGTTTTCATTAATAGACTCAGTGCGGCCCTTAAACCCAACACGTAGTAATCCATATATACTGATATCCTCACTATTACACACATCTCGGAATGACAGAAAATGATACAACAGATATTGCTGCATAGTCTTTATTTGGAGTATATCAAGTAAACATGCACAGTATTTTGTCTTGGAGAAGAATATCAGTATCATAGACTCAGTAAGCGTAACTGTATTACTGCTGCAAACCCTCATCAGTCATGTGAGGAGCGAATGGTCTCTGAATAGAAAGTAACCAGGTGATTTCTCCACCAAAGACACGTCATTATTGTACTTAGCAATCCTATTAGTTAAACTCAAGTATGGCAAATCTCAAAGGAATGAAAAGTAAACTTATAACTACTGTATATTTTGTTCCACCACCAGAATCTCTTAAAATAACCACCTCCTCCTTAATATCCCACCTTTCACAGTACTCTCCAATCAAACATCAATTATAGTGTTAACCATATTACCTTTAATATTATATCAACTTTATCTTTATTTATTTAATTCTGTAACTATTATAAATTCCAGCTAAACCTAGAAAAAAAACCCATAACACAAACAAGTATTGTGGTCCCTTAAACAGACTATTCACGATTGGCTTTCTTTTAGCATTATGTTAATATATGAGTATAATAAGGAACCTTAAGTTATAGTTCTGCTAGACTTATAGATTAATCACAACTTATTGAAGATCAATAATTAGTAAATGAAAACCAGAAGTAACTTTTAAAGATTATTATATTAATATAGAAGGAATTAAAGGAATTAATCAACTATTTGATTTGCAGTTTACAGACCTAAACTGCCCCCTAGTAGAAATGCAGGCTACTGCAAGAAGAAAAGTAAAGCTGTCTGTCTTCACGAGCAGCATAATCAGGTAGATTTGAACTCTTATGCACGTGATGCACGCTGCTGAACATTGAACCAGCTCACTGGGGCGAGGTGACATTACTCTGTGACAGCTTAAAGGTTTTGGTCGTTCTCATGGAAACGGTGGAGGTGGTCAGAGTACCTGGGACAGAGAAATGAAGAAAATTAATAACTTGCATCAGGTGATATATTCACTACATTCAGCTGTGGAACAAACTCACTTTTTAGCACAGAAAGCGGTGCAGTCTCTGCCGATACTCTCGCTCCAAGCAGTCTTGTACAACACCTGAAAATCAAAAAATAAAATATCACAGTACAAAGTTTCAGCTGGAGCTCACAACACAGAACCAGAAACTCCTCTGGGGTTGACAGTAGACCTACCAAGAAGACCAAACAATGCAGGAACAGGGTGTAGAAGAAGGCAACAGTCCTGGCCATCTTGTTGGAGAGAATCACACGACCCTGAGAGACACGGAGGATTAGTCAAGAAGTTGCACCAGACACATAAAGTCTGTGTGTATGTTTGAGGCTCACCAGGCTCAGAGTCGCTTTATCCCAGGGGCTGAGGCTCAGGTATCGACGCTGACGCTCCTGCAAACAAAGAGCAATTGGTACACTGTCTTTGGAAAGTGTGAACATACGCTGATCGCAGGTATTCATGAGTGTTTTTTATTGTGATATTGTCTTATCGATAAACACAAGTAACAGTAACATTTTTTAAAATGCATTTCCAGATGTTTTTTAATTTATTACTGCCAGTCTGCGATGTTGAGAGCATTTGTTCAGTGAGATTTGATATCCAGCTCCCATTAAAAGATCACACTATGGAGACATGGAGTTGCTATTTATCTGGTTTATAATTTGCTTAATGTGTAATGTGCTTTAGGAGTAAGTGGGATTTACTGTTTTTTGTCTTCTTCTATTTTTAATTGAGCTAAGACCAACTTATCATGTTCATATGGCAATAAAGTATTGAATCTTGAATCTTCCCCAGAATGAGTTTAAACGAGAACCAACGCTCAAAGATCATCCATTAGCGTGACAGTGAAAAGAACTTTTTGAGTCATCCAACTGGTCCAAACACAGCATGCATGACTTATACTCAACAATCATAAATTATTACTGGATGGATGACTGTTTAATGTCAGTGCAAAATGGAGAACCTAGAAATAATAACTTTGATTGTGTAGGACTGACACCAGATCAGGCTCTATTGTAACTGTGCTGGAAACATGATGCCCTGTCATCCATGTTGGGTCAGTTGTCAGAGTAAGAAACTGACAGTAAAATATTAAAATGAACCAAGAAATGGCAGCTGGTGTCAGAACACTTTCATTTGATCTTGTGTGTGTGTGTATGTATGTAAGTTGTTTCCTGTACCTTCCTGCTGAAGGAAGCAAACGGATCCAGTCTCTCCTCGTACTGGGAGGAGTAGCGCAGCACGGTGTCATCACTACCTCCAGCCTACAATGCAGAGAAAACAGACACATCTAAATTACCCTCCAAAATATTTTCGGGCTCAGATTCCACCGAATCAGTGAGACATTTAGAAACAAGAACATCAGCCATGTAGAGCACATTTATTCTCTCTCACACACACTCTCTCTCTCACACACACACACACTCTCTCTCACACACACTCTCTCTCTC